GGGGCCAGGCGGGCCGGAGGGGAAGGGGTCGGCACCCGAGCTACCCGGCCGGGAGCGGGGGCCGGCCGGGGCCCGTCCCCTCCGCCGCGAACACGCTTAGTAGTTTGTTCTGATTTTCAAAGCCGGAGGGACCGAGCTCTTGTTTCGGGAGTTGTTGGCAAGCCGTGTTAGGAGCGTGCGATACTTTGCTTCCACTTTTTTTTTTGTCCTGTAACCTTTGTTAACCATTCTAGTCCCAGGGTCTGAATTGCTTGTGTGTACTCTCACACAAGCACGCACACGGCTGATAACTCTGTCGAGATTCTTCTGCGCTCACTTGTGAAAGTTGCTCTGTGAGTGGAGCCTATTAGTTTTGATCACACGCCTTTAGAAAGCACGCTAATTGATTTCAGGTATTTCAAACTTGGTTTACAAATTTGCAACTTTAATTGTTTTGCTCTCTCTTGGGGGATACCGTCCTTGGGGTTGGGTACTTTGGCCTTTTACTTACTTAACCTTTCTGTGGTTATGGTTTCCTTTTGATCCGAAACAAAAGAAGAACAATACCTAGGTTGGTTTTGTTGTTCCTTCCTCTTGACCCCTTAAAAGCTAGATACTACTGGTTTGTTGTCAATTAAACCTTTATTTAAAAAAGCATCTCCCGGTAAAACGAGTTTGGACGCAGCATTTTCCATCAGAATCGTGTCTTGTTTGTTACAGTTTGGAGTGTCCTAAATTTTGTTTTAGACTTCTAAAGTGATACACGAAGAGTAACTGTTAATGAATAAATAAATGGTCACGCAAACCTACTTGGAGTAATTCCATCTTTCGAAAGAGCTCCCAGAAATTTGAATTAATTTATAGAATTATTGATAATTCTGTTATCTTAGTTTCTTTTCATTTGCTCTCTTCTGATTTTATATGAACTGAACCGTACTGTACTTCTGATGTAAGGATGTTTTTTTCTTGAGCCGAATAAGATAATAAATTTGCTATTACTCTGAAAATACATTTGCTGCTATTCTAGTTTTGACCCCCTTTAAAAAGTTTTCCTTAGATAGAAGTGTAAGTTAAATAGTTAAATGAAGTTTGAGGAGTTTAATGTAAATAAAGAGATAAGTGAAGTAAATGTAACAGATGGGAGAAATAATGTAAAATGGATTTCATAAATGTATCCTAGTTTGAGGATTTTTTTCATTTGCCTTAAACAACATACAGGATATTGGTGTTTTTCTCAATCAGAAGGTCATTTAGCAAACATTTATATTAAATTCAGAAAGTAACACTGATTTTTTTTTTAAAATTCCCTGATTTTTGCCATAAAATTAGTTGTGGTAGTAGATAAGGATATTTTGAGTCCAAACGCCCACTTAGTACTCTTAATGTTAAAACTGAGTTTAAAGTAGTCCATTGGCAAATTTTTATTAATGTGATTGGAAACATCCATTTTTGGGCTTGCTCAGGAAGAAATGGCTCTTAGTCGCTTTTGTATTTTATAGCTATGCCTTCTAAAGTGATTTCACATTGTAGGTGTTGAGCAAAAGTTTGGTTTTTCATGGTTGTAACTTACCTGTGCCTAGTAAGTAAGTGATCACATCTCTACACAGTCTGTAAGGTTCATGTAATAATAGTCTTATAAGAAGCCATGCAGGGTAATTTCCTGTTGTTTGTGGCTTGTCAGGCCTGGTATGTGTTTTAACTAAGTAGGAATTTGGGGATGGTTTTGTATATTTCAGCAGTCATTCTCTTTAATAGGAACAAAGGTGGTTTCTACTTCAGGATGGCAGAAGGTCCCCTTTTCATTTTCATATTGTAAATATTAGAATCCTATTGCTATAATCTTTTTACTTCGTGTTGAGGGGAGATGTGTGAGTGAAAAACAGTCGAGCTGCATCACCTGCTGATCAAAGACCCATTAAATTTTTACATTGAGCAAATATTTTCAGTTTTGGCTTTTATAAATGTCTGAAAGCTCTCTTTATTCTTGTTTAGTTTTCATTCTGTTGGCTTTGTGCTTTAGGACTCCAAAGGCCTTGTTTTGTAGCAGCTTTTTATACAGGTGTTTTTGTAATGCATATAAAAGCTGTATTTAGTGCAGTCTGGCAGATGGGGGCTTATTCATGTTCTTGGGACAAGAGTCATTTTTAGAGGATGGAGAGGGGCATGTCTTTAAGATACCTTGTCTTCTGATGGGAGGAGAGGAACCGTTTTAAGCTTTTAGTTTTTATAAGATGAAAGCTGTTTTCCACCAAGTATTGCAAGGGTATGTCAGAAATGAGAAATCCAAAGATTTCAAAAGCAATCAGGAGATTTATTCAACAGAATAACTTGTATTTATTGAACAAGTAGCATTTATTCATTTATTCAACAAATAAAATAGCCTTTGCTGTGTCAGGCCCTGGACTCAGTAATAAAGGATCTAACAAGCAACAAGTATACCCCTGTTCCTTAATGGAATTAGAAAAGTGGAAACAACTCCTATCTTCTGCCTGCCCTCCAGTCTTTAGAATAAGAAAATCATGTTATTGTACAAATTGAGGGAGCTTGTGATGCATTACTGAGCCAGTTCCTAAAGTATGCTTGCATTGCTTTCTGTCGAATGTAGAGGACATCACCAGGGAAGATGTCAAGTGTTAACTCATAGTGTAACTGGGAACAGTCTGTATTTGGGGGCAGGAGGGGGGAGACTTGTCACCATTTTTTCACAATCTGTACAAACTGAGGATATGGTCAGTGTTTTCAGAAACATACTTGTTGCTGGACAGATGAACAGGTGTAGAGCTAAGCTTAATTAGGCCTTAGTTTGATTATACGTTGTCCTTTAGTTCTAGAAACTGGCTGAAGAAAGAAAGCAGATCTGCATCGGACAGGTTCCAGTGAAAGAATTGGAAGTAAAGTGCAAAGAAACTGAGCTCCATCAAGAATAAGGATTGGGCTAGTCCCATGTAGTGGAATGGCCATGGGTTGTGGAGTCGGGCCTAGGCTAATGGCTGGTTTCTCAGTTACTATGTTGGGCAAATTACTTAACTCATGCGCCTTGGTTTTCTGACTGAAAACAGGTAATGACACCTGCCTCTTCCCGTTATTACAAGGATTAAATGATTGTGATTGAAATACTTAGAACTTGCCTCAGACATAGGGTCCTCCCAGATGATCTCTTGCTCTCTTCTCCTTGTGGCTTTTAGTTGTTTTCTTTCTAATCCAGATGATTTGCCTACACTTATTCTTGACCTATTATAAAATGCTTTTGAGAACCAGACACTAAGCAAAAAAGGCCTGAAATAGCTGTAAACTGTCCTAAGTCCACACCTAAAGTTCTAGTCACAGGAGAGCCATCGAGACCCTTCATCAGAACCTGTTGGCATATATTTCAGATGTTTCTAACAAAGTTATCTAGCTTCTAAGCCCACAGTAGATTAGAAAGAAGTAGATTGTGGGTAATGCAGGAGGTTTAGGGGAGTGTAGTGGGGGGTGGGGTAGGAGGATGGAGAACTGTTAGCCTACTGTGTTGTAAGAAAAAACAGATAACAGCCTGGTGAGGATAATAGAGTTAATCTACAAGACACAAAACAAATATTCAGAGCCTAACTAGCATGTCTTGGACCATTCAGTACAGGACCAGACCTGAAAATGTAGTAATGAATGTTCATCAATTAGCTTAAACCATGTTTGGGAAGATCTTTTAAGAATGCAGTAATCTACATAGTATACTTTAGATTGTTATTCAGGATGATTAACAAATGTTTCTAAAGGGGTAGAACGTTGTGCTATATCAAATGACTTATTTCTTTCTTTTTTTTTTTTTTTAAGATTTTATTTATTTATTTGACACAGAGAGAGAGAC